CCCATGCAATTAAACTGCCTGAAAACCTGTTGGAGGGTCAGCTATGGGTTGGTTCCAACTCGATGATACACAACAACAACAACAGCCCAAGCTCTTGCTTTTCTGGATGGTTTGAATCTACCAGTCTTTCTGTGGGAAAAATATGAGCAGTCTTCCTTGTGATTTACAGCCTCAGAAACCCAGTGGTGGGTTAGCTTCAAAGGTCCTACTAATTTCAAGGTCCAAAAACAGCAAGAGCCAAGTGTTTAGCAAATGGGCTTTTATTTCATATTCGCCTCAGTGAAGGCAGACTGAGGCTCTCAATGCAGGGGTAGCCCCAGCAAAGAGGAAAAGTGGAGTTTTTATTCTCAGTAGCTTTGGATTGCTGGGGGCGGAGCTGTTCTGGTTAAGCAGTTTTCTTCCTTGAACTTTTCCCTCTGAGACCTTACACACCTCCTGGTGCCCTGTTCTCTTAGTCTCTGGGCTTCCTTCTATCTAGGGAAAAAGAGAAGAAGGAGGAACTTCTGGGGCAGGCTTGCTTGGCCCCAAGTGAGGGGAATTCAGGTAGAAGTCCAGAAACATGGAGTGTTCAGCCCAAGACAGTTGGTGACAGTTCCAACTCATGTCATTGAGTTGGAGGTTCCTTTCTTTGTTTTATTTAATATAAAGTTCCTTTAAAAAATTTTTTAAAAACTTTAAAAAACCCCTCAAACCATTGAACATTACCCAAGCAGATACAAATGTAGGACATATTAAGTAAATGTCTTTTTCTTAAAAAAAAATACCTTTTAAAGATCATCTCTGCTGTTTATCACTTATTTCTGTCTGTTACAGTCGTCTGTTGGGATATCTGAAAGGGCCCTGGAAGAGTAGTGAGCTACAAGTACGTGGCTAACCCTGAGGTCATTGGTTTGAATTAACCAGGTGCTCAGAGCCATGAAATGACGCTGAATCAGAATATACCTGGTGGGCTTCATCAGGTCTCTGATGTAATCAATCTTTAAGGGAGGAGATTGCCCATCATTGTCCACAGATCAGCTTGTGGGCTAGAACTGCTGACATTTTGAGAACCAACCCTACAGATTCTGCCCAGAAGAGAGACAAGGCCTCCCCAGCCCCACCTCAACGAGGTCCCTGGAAACCCCATAGAGATGATCCACTCTGTTGAGTTTAATCAGATTCAAAGGCATCCAACAACAGATACTTTAAAATCAGGTGTTTTATTGTGGGGAACGTGGTCTTGTTTTCCTGATAGGCCACTCTGGCAAAGTGGGAGAACTGATTTTCTGCTAATGGAGTTTTTAGAAAGAAAATGTCCTTAGAATGAGCTGGATAGGGTAAGTCTGGAAAAGGCACCAGTCAGTCTTCTAGCTCAGTTATAGCAGAGAAACCTGAAAGGAATTTACAATCGAGCCAGGGGTCACTCAGGAGAATCCCCAAGCTATCCTGCCCACTGAAAGCTAACTTGTGTTTTCTAATGTGACCATTCAGAATTTATAACCCAATTAATTCATTAGTCAAGGAGCTCTTTTGGCTTAGTGTTAAAGAATTGCACTCCCAAACCAAAGCCTTGAACCTAAAGAAAATGTTTCTTTGAATCCTCCAGCTATGTTTGAATCCACCACAGGAGAAAGATGGGCAGTTTCCGTCTTTGAAAACCTGCTGACGAGTCAATTATGAGTCAGGTCTGACTAAACAGTACACAACAATTAACTAATGTGAGAACTTCAGTTTCTCCCTGAAAGTAAGGGGAAATGAAGTGGCTCAAAGAATCTCTAGGGCATCCCAGGCCCATAGTATCTTGAAGATAAAGGTCCACCCAATTTTCTGGTAAAACGGGATTTTGCTTATTTAGTTTTAGAATTAGGAACAGTACATACCAGTGTCCTAAAGCCATTGCCTCTCCCCCGAGGCCTGTTCTGTCGGTCTTTTTGGTATGGTGACTGTATATATCCTCCATCTTCTTTTGATGCTGCCTGGATCATTCAAGATTTTGCCTCTATATACGTAATTAAAATATTGTAAAATGGGAAAGAACAAAAAAAATTTTCCCTTAATATCCTTCCATACTGTAACTAGAGGCTTGAATTGGTTTTCAGTTCTTTCAGCATGAGAAATGCTGAGCGAGTTATTCTTCTATTCTTCTATTTTTATTTTCTAACTCCAGTTCTTTGCACATTTCTTTATAACATTTTTTGTCTTCTCAAGTTGCCCTTTGAAAACTACTATTCAACTCTTTACTTTGCCATTTCTACCCCTTTGTTTTGGCTTCTTGGTATTCTAGTGCAATTTTCAGAATCTCCTCTGCCGTCCATTTCGGTCTTTTCTTTCTCCCTGGTCTTTGCAATGACTTTTTGCTTTCTGGATTATATCCCTGATGTCACCCCACAGTTCTTAAGCCGTTATCTTTTCAATTAATTACTTGTTATGCATCTGAAGGTTGGGCAATGACTAAGGATGATAGAAGAACAAGTGCCTATGAGTTGTGGTTTTGAAGAAGAGTACTGAGTATCTCATGGGCTGCCAAAAGGACAAACAAGTATGTCTTGGAGAAAGTGCTGGTTCTAAGAAGGATCTTAGAAATCTGATGGAGATTTGTAATGAGTTGGAATCAGCTTGTTAGGAGAAGGTATCCAGTTCTCATAAACTTGTCTGTAACTGTTAGACTACTCTATTTACACACACAAGCTCTGGTGGCCTAGTAAGTAAGGAACTTGGCTGCCAACCCAAAGGTATGTGGTTGAAATCCACCAACTTGGGAGAAAGAGGGGCATTCTCCTCCTGGGTGATTTACTGGCTCTAAAAGCCCACTGGATCATCAGTTCCAACTCGATGGCGCATAGCAGCAACATTTACACACTAGCCAAGTATCTCTGATTTTAGACTCTTACACAGAATGACTAATAATTCTGTCCAACAATCAACATGACTGATTAATATCTGATGCATATAGATTATTATTATTTTGATGTAGTATGTGTATGGTTTATTGACTGAAATAAATCCATGAAAACTTCCCCCCACCCCCTGGTAGCTTAGTGATAAGAAACTGCACTGCAATCTCAAAGGCACACGGTTCAAATACACCAGCTGCTCTGCCAGAGAGAGATGGCCAATCTTCTCCTGTGTGGTTTAACTGCCTCTGAAAACCGTCTTGAGAGTCAGCTATGGATCAGTTCCAAGTCGATGGTATACAACAACAATCAGTTCTCCAAACGACTAAAGAGCAATAATGTCAGTGTAAATACTGTGGAACACCTGATCCAAGCTATTGTCTTTTCAACACACTTGGAAGCTGTACAAGGAAGAAGGATGAGAGAAGAATCGATAACTGAAATGTTTGAGCAAAGTATTAAATATCCCACGAATAGACAGAAGTACCCACAAATACATCCTGGAGAAAATGTAAGCAGGGTACTCCTTGGGGCAAAAATGGTGAGATGTCATCTCACATACTTTGGACACTTTGTTAGAAGGGACTGGTCTTCGGAAAAAGTCACCATACTTGGAAAGGTGGTAGATTAGTGAAATAGAAAAAGACCCTCAATGAGATGGATTGACACTGTGATTGCAACAATGTACTCAAGTTTATGAGAAATGAAGATGGCACAAGATAGGGCAGGGTTCTGTTGTTCGTAGGGTCACTATGAGTTGTAATCAATTAGCACTTAAGAACAACAATCAGTTATCAGAGGAGAAGATGGACAATCTCTTTCCCTGTGATTTTATAGACTCTGAAAACCCACTGGGGTGTCAGTGATGAGTTGATTCAATCTTGAAGGCAATGAATTTGAGTTTTGAATTGGTTAGCTGTGAGAAGATTATATATACTTCTTGTTGTCATTATGTATGATCAAGTCAGAACTGACCCAGAGCTGACCCTCCAGAGGACTTTCAGAGGCTATGAATCACACAGGAGAGGATTGTCCATCTTTCTCCCCCAGAGCAGCTGATAGATTCAAACTGCTTGCTTTTGGATTGGCAGTGCAACTCTTTACCACTAGGCCACCAGGACTCCCTATTACATATACTAGATATGGATAAAATCCTATCATTCAATTTAATTTGTATTATTTAGCACTGTTGTTACATTTCCTTACATTTTTAAATTTTTTAAAAAATTTACTTTTTTTAATAAAAAAATATTAGAAGCAAACCCAGTTGTTCTCCAATGCTATTCCTATTGCTAATACTTCTTAAATTTTTGCTTTTGTATACCTCAGGGTACATTTGAGTGAAAATGAAGATTTCTGTCATCAAAAGCTAGTGAGAATATATGATTTGAAATCTATATTGACTTTTTTTTTAGCTCTGGTCTTTATCGCTAGTACCGTACAAATACAAGAAGAAACTGAGAAAGGTTGGAGGGTGCAGGGAAGTCAGGCAACACACACAAGACCCTCCCCATCCTCCTATTCCCATCCCTACCCCACGTGCCCTTCTGTGAACTGTCTTGTTCAGAGAAGGTTGAGAGGGTCAAAACCACAAAAATGAAACTCCAAATACCTAAAGATATCAGTTGGGAGAGGAAAGGAGATGAGGGTAGGGCAGGCGTTCCCTTCCTCTCTCTCTCAAGGGCCTAGACACGCTTGTGTGTACATACACACACACACACACACACACACACACACACACACACACACACACACGGAGCACATATGCACATACAGATCAAAGCACATGAACGCATTTGTACTGTGTCCCTGACATGTAGCGTTCAGGCACCATGTGCCACAGCACTGCCGTGTCCTTACACTCACTTTAAGGCTGTAGACCTGAGGTCCTAGACAGTTGGGAGGGGCAAGTGGACCAGGAGCCTCCCTCTTCAGACACTGCCTGCCCCATACACCAGACTCTTATCCCCTCCTGCTCCTCTGCCTGTCCTTGAGGGACCAATACTGTTCTGGTGTGACATGTATAAGAGCCAAGTTGAGTGGCCCTCAGCCCCAGCAGGAAGATGGGGTGAACCAGTGCTCGCCTTCAGATGGGGCTGGACAAAGGCCCAAGGTCCAATAGGAGCGATGGCCAGCGGGAAGGAAGCCCTGGTAAGGCACGGGACTGGGAGCAGGGGTTGCCCCAAAATGTTTCTCTTGCCTCACTCTCAAAGTCAGGACAGCAGCTTGAGAGATGAGGCAAAGCAAAGGCATGGTAGAGAGGCAGTGTCCACTCGGGTCCACTCCTGTGGGCAGGGCTGAGGACACAGTCATCAAAAGCCAAGAAGAAATAAAATGAATATGCATTCCATCTGAGAAATGGCCTTTTCTGTGTACTTTCACCATTTCTGAGTAGTATGTGAAAAAGCTCAACAATTCGCTTTCCAAGAAACAGCCACAGTCAAATATAAAGCACTTGTCCATCAGTTGACCTTCAGGACACAACTCAGAAGTGTCAGTCAGGGCTGTAAGTGAGGTAAAGGAGTAAATGTTAGGGCTTCCTCCAACCACTGCTGAAGGTCAACTGGTTGGCAGGTTGCTTAAAAGGTGTAAACAGAGGTTGCAAAACTACTAACCCCCACACCAAGCCCACTGCCATTAAGTTTATTTTGACTCATAACTGATCCCTGCCTCATAGTGACCCTATAGGACAGAGTAAATGGCCCGGTGGGCTTCTAAGACTGTAAACTTTTAGGGAAGGAGGCTGCTGCCTCTTTCTCCAACAGAACAGGGATAGGTTCCAAGTAGTTGTTGTTGTTATGTGCTGTCGAGTCCCTTGCAACTCATAGCAACCCTATGTACAACAGCCTGAACCCTACTCTATCCTAAGCCAACCTCACCCTCTGTGAGATATCTACCCCCATTATCCCAGTCAGAGTCAATCCATCTCATTGAGGGTCCTCCTCTTTTGTGCTATCCCTCCACCCTCCCAAGCATGATGTCCCTCTCTAAGAACTGGTCTGTCTTGGCAACGTGCCCAAAATATGTCAAATGAAGCTTCAGAATCCTTGCTTCCAAGGAGCAGCCTGGTCTCTCCCTCTCCAAGACAAAACTGTTTGTTCTCCTAGCAGTCTATGGTATATTCAATACTCTTCTCCAAGCACCAAAGCTCAAACACATCAATTCTCCTATCATCCCTAGTCATTGTCCAGCTTTTTGATGCATAACAAGTTATTGCAAAGACCATGGCCTAGATTAGGTTCACCTTAGTTTCCAGACTGACATTGCTCTTCAGTACACTGGAGAGATTTTTTTTCAATGCAGATTTGTTTTTTTTTATTCCCTAGCTACTGGTATCAAGAGTGTTGATTATGGAGCCAAGCAAACTGAAGCTGTTAATAATCTCTATTTCCCATCTACCATGATGTTGCCAATTGGCCCAGTGGTGAAAATCTTTGTTTTCTTAATGTTGAGCTTCACTCCATATTGAAAGCTGCAGTCCTTGACCTGCCAAGAATGACCTTTTATTAGCAACTGAGCTTTTAACCACTGCCCACCACTGGTTGTGCAGAGTCAAGACCAAAAAGATGTTTTGCCCTTCCCTGACAAGTTTTCTCATATACCTCAACTGCATTCCACTATGACAGTGAAAAGTCTTTTCTGAGTGCATTCAGAGGCCCATTCAAGCTGCTACACTCATGTTTGATAATAATAATGCAAATATACTACTTTATGGGTAAAATATCATCTAAGATGCAAGAATTGGCAGCATACCAATTGACATATTTCGACAAACAGATGCTGCCCTAGATGTGCTCACCAAGTTGTACCAAGAAATCTGGAGGACAACCACCTGGCCAACTAATTGAAAGAGATCTTTATGTTCCCATGTCAAAGGAAGGTGACCCGACAGACTGGAAATTACCAAATAATATCATTGATATCACACGCAAGCAAAATTCTGCTGAAAATTATCCAAAAAATTACTAGAACAGCACATCAACAGAGAAATACTTGAAGTGCAGGCTGGATTTAGAAGAGGCTGTGGTACAAGGGGTATTAGAGCTAATATCAGAAGGATCTTGGCTAAAAGCACAGAATACCAGAGGAGTGTCTATCTATGCTTCATTGGCTGTACAAAGGCATTTGACTGTGTGGATCACAACAAACTGTGGCTGACTCTGAGAAGAATGGAAATACCAGAACACTTGATTGTGCTTATGCAAAGATAACTGGACAGGAGGCATTCATTACAATGGTGCAAGGGAACACTACTTAGTTCGAATTAGGAAGAATGTATGCCAAGGATGTGTCCTATTTCCATATCTTTTGAATCTATATGCAGAACAGATTATCTGGGAGGCTTAGCTCTATGAGGAGAAATGTGGCATCAGGATTGAAAGAAGATTCATAACAATATGCATTATGCAGATGACACAACCCTGCTTGCTGAAACTGAGGAGGACCTGAAGTGCTTGCTGCCAAAGCAGAAGGTCAGGGACTGCAGTCTTCACTATGGATTAAAGCTCAACATCAAGAAAACAAATATTCTCACCACTGGGCTGATGGGTAGTATCATGATAGACAGGGAAAAGATTGAGACTGTTAATAGCTTTAGTTTGCTTGGCTCCACAATCAACACTCTTAGTACCAGCAGCCAGGAAATTAAAAGACAAATTGCACTGGGTAGCTCTGTTGTCAGTGACCTCTACAAAGTATTTAAGAACAACAATGTTAGTCTGGAGACTAGGTGCGCCTGATCCAAGCCATAGTCTTTGCAATTACTTTCTATGCATCAGACAGCTGGACAATGACTAGGGATGATAGAAGATGAGTTGATGTTTTTGAGCTGTGGTGCTGCAGAAGAGTATTGAATATACCATGGACCTCTAGGAGAACACACAGGTTTGTCCTAGAGAGGGTGAGACCAGGCTGCTCCTTGGAGGCAAGGATTCTAAAGCTTCACCTGTCATACTTTGGACATGTTGCTAGGAGGGACCAGTCCTTGGAGAGGGACGTCATGCTTGGGAACGTGGAGGGACAGCGCAAGAGAGGAAGACCTCGATTGATTCAGTGACTGGGGTAATGGGGGTAGGTGCATCAGAAACAGTGAGATTGGCACAGGGTTTAGGGCTGTTGCACATAAGGTCGCTATGAGTTGCAGGCGACTCAAGGGCACATAAAAACAAGAAGATCAAGTTTTATTTTAAAGAAGTTGGTCTGTGTTTACTATTATACCATAGCACCAACGTCCACCTCACCACCATTTATGATGCTTTAAATAGGGTGGTAACTCACCACCACCACTTCCACCCCTCTCACCCCCTTAGTAGAGAAACTGCTAGAAGCGATGGGGGAGCGGGGCAGTGAGGGGGCAGAAGGGAAGGGTTGCAGGCCCTGGAAAGGGGAGGCAACATGGGCAAAGCTCCGCCCCACGTTTGGGTGAGAAGGGCAGAAGCTCTCCGCCCACCAGGGGGCACTCGCGGCCCTTCTTCCCCGCCTCCCAGGGAGGGCTGGGCTTTGCGTTAAAGCACTGGATGTCACGATGTCACTGATGTCACTGTGTAAAATGACCTTCAAAGGTCTGTATTTCCAGTAAGCGGAGGGAGGTTCCCCTCCTACAACATGCTTAGTTACGTTGCTTGATGTTTTTATTCATTTCCAATCTTGTAAGCAAATGTCAACTTTTTGTATCTGTTTTTTTAAGTATAAATTTACCTTTATATTCTTTTCTACGCATTCACCCAGGCTCACAGTTCCGTTGGTAAATCATACGCATTGTTAGTTTTGAGGGCTTGTTGGAAATACTGTCTCACAAGAAAAATTCTCCTGCTTCACCCCGCCTAATCTATCCCATCTCCTAAAGTAGTCATTGCTTCCAGGAACATGAGCTTAATACACCTAACTCTTACATTTTTCATGAGTATGCATGTCATTCACCTTCAAGAAAACATTTGATTGCTCCAGAGCAAGACAAACCCAGTACTTTCAGGTGGTTTCAGAGTCTGAGCAGCCATTTAGGATAGAAATGCCACACAAGATTTACAAGGCTGCAAATCTTTCCGGAACTAGACTGTCCCGTGTTTCTTCATATACAATAATGCAATAGCCTCGTTTCTTAACAATTTATCTTCCCAACGGGCCCTTCAGAGAAGTCGCGAAGATGACCAATTTCTATCCAGGGCTTATTTAAGAGTGCAATAGTCAGGCGGTCTTTGTAATTTTTAGAAACTAGCAGGCCGCGAGGGTCCTTCACAATGCTGGATCAATGCCGTTTATTAAGTAATACGGACAACTTGGGGTGTCCAGGTAAAAACTAGGACTGAGTGGTTGGTACTCGTTCAACAGTGACCCGCTTCCTATGCCCCGGGTTTTTATATTACTCCAGTTTTATTCTTAGACCCAAACCTGCCGGAAAATGGCTCAAATTTCAGCTTTCAGTTCAAGCTTCCTACCCACCCTTCCTGCTAGGGCGTTAACTCGTGAAGTAACCGCAGCAGGGAGGCTGGAGCGGCTGCGACAAGAGAAGTCACGCCCCATGGGGGGAGCAGCCGGCAGCCACCCAAGAACGCAGTTAGTGAGGCCACGCCCACTCCCCACCCCCACTTCCCCATGTCGCTCTCCCCTAGCCCGCCCTCAGCCCCGCCGGGCAGCGGCCCCGCCTCCCAGAGTTTTGTACTGAGCTCCAGTACAAAACTTCACTTCCGGCCTGAGCTGAAGGCGGGGCGGGGAAAGGCCACGCCTCTTCCCGACCCTCTGAGTTTGGGGATTGTTGCGTGGAGCCAGGGCAGACGGGGGTTAGTCTGCATAGTGGGCTGTCAGGTTTCTAGCTGGTCTCCGAGAAAATGAAACTGTTTTCCCCGCGGTGCACAACGCCCGTCGGCCGCCGCCGGAGCCCCCTTTCTTCCGTGTGCTTCCTGGGGCCCATTCTGATGTTAGTGGTGATCTTAATTACTGGTAAGACGCAGGCGAGAGCGCTCGTGCGCCGACCCCGAGGCTGCACCCGACGGGGGGCTGGCCGATCCAAGCCGAGGGGCAGTGGGGCATGGCTTAGAGGGCTGGCGAGAGGGCGTGGGGCCTCGTGGACCCGGGTGCTGCTGCACTGACATTGAGGGGAGACCTTGCGTTGCGGCAGGTGTTTGCTTGGTTGGAGATCTGAGCTGGGCGGTGCT